ACTCTTTCCATTGAGCACATCAATATTTTTCTGTATCCAGAAGTATGGACTGGATGTTGCATTTTTGTACAAATTTTAGAATAGTTACAAGTCGAGGGAGAATCATAACGTAGCATGCCAAATCTCATGTTCAATGAAGAGACTGCCTCATTATTGGTAATATTTACATGTACTATAACGCATTTTGGGGTAGGGTTGGCATTAATCATTTTAGGAAATATGCTTAACCCTGTCCTTCTCTTTGTACAGTGATTCTTTTATTATCCCTTCCTGTCTGCAGCAGAGGCATTTTGACTGAACCTGGCACTGTGTGATTTGGCACTAGAGAACACCGAGCTGTTTTGTCTCCTATTTGTATGCATTTGCTAATGATATCTAAATAACAACGAGGGTTTTGTTCGTTTCTAACTGCACCAACTCTAAAGGCACTTTATGTAACACATGGAAGTCATATCTGGTTTTTATCATAAACATTAATGTGATTATATTCTTCCTTCTCACTGCACACGTCTTCTGGTGCAATATCTATCAATTGTGAATTTGGCCGCTGCTGATGTATAAAAGAAAACAAAAAACAGATGTAGAGCTGAGCCTGCAGACATGTACCTCAGCAGTTGTTTTTGTGATTTATTTTTTAACTTAATCACAAAGATTTACTTAATATACACTGCTATCTAATCAGTTTTGTTACCTATGACATGTTGCATGCTTAAACTATAATGTCTGAGTTGCATCTCTTTTGTGACAGATTAAAAGTGAGAGATTTGTATTTGCTCCACTGAAGTTAAATGGTTATGGTACTGCTGAAGTACGACTGAGGGTACGGCAGCAGCAGTTTCAGGTCGGTTTTGGCACAGGAGCCAGCTCGTCACCTCGCATTCCCTGCGCTGTGCCTCCAGACGCGCTACCGTACCCTGGGTTAATGGGACACGAGCCTCTGCTAAAATGTGCTGTACCTACACAACACAGAGTTTATTATTGCTGGCTATATTGACGGCCAAACTCTTGGGCAAGCCGCCCCAAATAGTTAAGCTCATCTATGCTATGACAAAACCCAGGAAATACCTTCAGATTTGCAATAAACTACAGAGGGTCAGTCAATGGCCTTCACTGTGCAGAGCAGCCGCTGCAGAGGAAAAGGATTTTCATCTGCAGGGCTCCTACCATCAAGCTGTAGCGCTGTAACCAAGAGCCTGAGTGATTCCAGGCTGTGCATCTAGGAGTCCCCCTGGAGCTCCTGAAGATACATTTGAAGGAATCTTTCCAGGAGAAAAGGCAGCTAAACGTCATTTACTTCCTACATCCACAACACAAAGCAACTGCCCCTCCAGTGGGCCTTGTATTGTGCCTTTCTCAGCACAGCACACTCTTGCATACTGACAGTTCAGCCCCTTCACCACAAAATGGCCCAACAGGATTTAGCTACGTTATTTTTTTCTTAATAAACAGTAATCGTACAGGTGGTACCTAAGCCAGTACTCGTTTGCTCATAAGCAACCCTAAGACAAATAATTAATTCATAAAAATTGTAGTCACATTACAGAATGCAGGGTCTGCAGCTGCCACCCCCTCTTCACATAAAGGCTTACAGCCCTATGCTCGTGAGCCTTACTGTACACATTGCATCAACTTCTGCTTGCAGGCCTTGCTGCTAGAAACTGCGTCTTTTTATCTTTCAATCTGAAAGTAACAAAAAAAACCCTACCCCATGCAAACCCCATGCTGCACAAGCAGCAGATGCTGCCGAGCACTGCCCCTGCAGCACACACCTGTCCTGCGCCCCAGGAATGCGCTGCAGCCCCGTGCTCGACCCTGCCAAAGCGGGCACAGTGCCTGCGGCATTCCACAGTGCCCAGTCCTATCTGCAGTGACCTGGCTGTCCCCTCCTGTGCTCCAGAGTGCTCATTGTCACAATTAATACAACTTTGAACTGTGGTTGGATTCGATATGCTGTGGGGAAAGGACTTAAGTCTGACAAAATTTTTTTTGCCCATTTATTTTCTGGGGAGCAGTGAGAGAAAGGGTAGTTTGTTTTCCTGACAGCAAAAGTTGTGACGAAAACAACAACGTGACAAAACAAAGCTGTTACAATGTAGAATCATAAAATGCATTGGGTTGGAAGAGACCTTTAAAGCTCATCAAGTCCAACCCTGCAGTGAGCAGGGACACTGGTACCAGATCGGGGTGCTCAGAGCCCCATCAAGCCTGGCCTTGACTATCTCCAGGGATGGGGCCTGCACCACCTCTGGGCAACCTGAAATGATGGAACTTAATTAAATATTTAATAAAGAATTATGGAAGCTACAGCATTTTATACTTCAAATATTTTGTTTTTATCTAACTGAAGCTTTGTTTTGTTAAAAAATAATAATAATTTGCCTTAAGGTCAAAATTTGTTTTCACAACCTGGGTTGTGGTTAGGGACCCTGTGTGTGGTCACATCTGTACTCTATTCACTTTTAAGAGATTAAACACACTATCCACATACTTCAGCTTCCATAAAAGTGGTTCTCAAATTTCTCCCCATGATCCCGACAGCACCGATGATGTGAGCAGAGATGTGTCTAATGCCTTCTCCCGAACACAAATGCACCCCTGAGCAAAGCACACCCATGCACAACCACCTGTGAAGCCATGAGCCAGGGTAACTTCTCTACAAGGACCTGAACAATTAACACACGGTCGGCAATTATCAGTGTTCTCTAAGGTGTCATGAGCTGAAACACAAAAACTGCACCTCTCCCAGCTTCCTACTGGCACCTCCTGTGCACCATCATTTCCAACACGAGAACTGCAACGCTCCATCAGACTCTCACCAGAAACTGTCCTTGAATTACCCAGCAGTGACCATACAAACTGCTTCTGTAATTTGTAAACATACCCGAAATTACTGTGAATGTTCTATCAACTGTATTGCACATTTTCTATGTTTGCAGCAGAATTATCTGCAGCCTGCAAAAATGTATGTGCTACCAACAAAATACCCTACTTGCAACAAACGCTACAAAGCTCAGTTCAACACTTCAAGTCTACGCATTGATAAATTTGCTTTGATTTTCAGTGTTACAAGCCTGATGTTGTAGTACTAAGAACAAATCCTGATTAACAGCAATGGAGCTAATGTTGCCTTTTCTGTTAATCAGTGTGAATGCCTATCTTCATTAAAAAAACAACCTAAAACAAAAACCAACAACAAACCCCCACCCCCCCAAACCTAACCAAAAAACCCAGCCCAGCACAAGCCAGGTTTCTGACCTGACGGCTCCCTGCAGGACCACAGCACATCCCCCACAGCCAGTGCCCGTGCGCGAGAGCTGCCAGGGTCCGAGTCACCCCTCAGTCTCACACAGACCCCGCATGTGACAAATCATCTCCTGACTTGTGCCTATTTCCCCCTTGGGCACTGGTTTCTGAAGGGGCTGCCCATCTCCTCCCCTTTCTTCAAGCCATCACCTCTCCCCAGCTGGAGTAGCCAGGTGCCGTTTCAGAGCCAATTCTACCACTGCAGCCCCTGCGCTGTGCTGTTAATACAGCCCTTTACGCCACCACGCCTCTTTGTACTGTAAAGTGACAAACCGTGTAATGACGAAACATACAGTTAACCAGCAGTCTTCACAAAAAAAGGTTAAAAACAAACAAAAACCACCTCGACATATACCTCTCTTCCAGTGAGTACATGTGTAATAATGTCTTGGCATAGATGTCTACTTTCAAAAAAAAACCAACAAAAAACACTAAAACCCAAACCAGCCACCACAGCAATTCTATTTGTGTTTCTAATTGGAAGTGAAAAACAAATTGTGGCAAGTTGTTAAAGAAGTCTGTGCTCATCCTTACACTGTATGCGGCTGGTAAGGTTTTGTTGCCCTTGAGAAACAAGCAAACAAACTCAACCACATCAATCTGTTCAGATGCCAGATCAATACCCGTACATCCACCACAGGAGATGCTGCAGCAGCCAACAGCAGTGCACACGATGCCTATTCCAAGCCTTGAAACTCCATTGCTCCCTACCCTGACATTTCCTGCTCCTGACAAGGGAAAAATCCCACACTACCCAAATTAATTCCCTTTCTTTTTTAATTTTGCTGTCATTAATAGAAACAACCATACCACATCAAATTAAAGGTCCAGCTGGAGACACATCTGATTTGCAGGGTCTGTCCAAACAGTGGAAGAAAAGGGCAAATAGTGGTGCTTCCAGCAAATGCACTTTCAAACGCGAGTGATGTGCAGCTCAAAGGCCTGCTACAGTGGCGATGGCTTCTTTTTCTTTGCACATAGCCGTATCAGTTATATTTTTTAAAACACATAAAGGTTTTTTTCACCTCTTATCTCTTCCCTAACACACATTCACCCTTGTGCTCCTCAGACCCCTCCACACTGTCCCTGCGTGTGCA